TGAAGACAACCAGGGAGTAAATGCTAATGGGTACAGGCTGCATTTTTGAAGCATTCAAATATTCTGGAATCACATAACAGTGATAGTTACACAACTTGTGAATGTTCTAGAAATACTGAAATATATGTATACATTAAAAGGGGAGATTTTAGAGTATATGGATTATAATTCAATAAAACTATTATAATAAATTAAAGACGAAATTGTAGATATCCCTAGTAATGGTTTTAACCCTTTCTATAAGAGAGATCTAAGTTTGTTTTTGTACTTGGAGACAGTGCATCATAATGCTTAAGAATGTCAGACTGCTAGGGTATCATTTAACTGCTGTGACCCTTGGCAATTGCTGTAAGCGAGGTCCTCTAAAAGCTAATGATGAGACAGCTTGTTGTGCAGGATGATTAGTAAAGATCAAAACATCTGAAGGCAGGAGGAGGAAGCTGGACAAGGCAGAGAAAATACTAGAAGTGAGATGAAGGTCTAACAAGGCCTCTGTCAACCCTGAGCTCCGGACTGTCAAAGTTCTTGCCTGGAGAGATGACTATGCCTTTCTAAACTGGGTTTTGACTCCATCAGAAACCTGCTGTGTGTTGGGCTTGGGAGGAGAATGGCCCTAAGTGAAGGGCCTCTGTAGCTGAGGCTGACTGCACTGTCCATATGCTGCAGGTGATCAGTAGGGCCTGTCTCCATCAGGGCCTCGGGCAGCACATCTGTGTCGTTTGCAGCAAGTTTCTTTGACCTCTTTTGCCTCAATCTCTCACCTATGAATTGAGATAATATAATATTTATCTCTTAGCTTTGTTAGAGAATTAAATGCAATAATACATATAAAATACAACAGTGATTATCGTAGGATAAATATTCAAAGCATACAATTGTTATTTTATTATCACTCTGCCAAGTAATACAGTCAACTTTGCCCAGACTACACTAAAGAATTATGATGTAACATGTGTATAGAAAGGCTCTGAGAATTTTTTTAAGAGTTTAATTTTTATAGCAGTTTTAAAATTCGCAAGAAAACTGAGCCTAAAGTATAGCGTGCCCCTGTTCCCTTTGCCCCCAGCCCCTGCACATGCACAGTCTCCCACTCTATTCTGAAGACATTTAGAAAAGGAATGACATCTAGCAGAGGTGGCTTAATATAAGTCTGCCAAAAAATGTGTATACACACTTTAGGAAAAGAAAAACTTGCATAAATATTTTAATATTAAATTTATTGGGACATCATGAGATTAATACAAGTTATCTTTGGCTTCCACAATCACAAGAGGTACTCAAAGTGGTGGCCATTAGCTGTCAGACATTTATTAGTACGGTGAACGGTTGCTTGGGTAATGTTGGTTGTTGAGATTGTCACACATGCATTTTCAATTTCTCTTCTAAGGCCGGCAGTGTCGTGGATTTTCTGTGATGTATATATATATATATATCCTCTAGGGTCCCTTACATGAGGGTAACACCATCTGTTGAAGACATATCATACTAGTTTTCTTTTCCTGGTGTGTATACATTTTTTGGCAGACTGTATATTTTGAAGGCAGAATGCACAGAACACACAAGACATGAGTTGAGTGACAGCAAAATTCCCTTCCTCCGTTTCTTCACTCTTTCTTTCACTTAGAACTCATATTTCTATTGCATTCAATTTTTCTTGATTACTAACACCTCAAGTGGGGAATATGGGTTTATTGGATCTTTCCTACTACGACAGTTAACAGTAGAATCTCATGTACAGAAACATACTTTGATAAATAGAGTTACAGTTTTTAAACAGGGGTTCCAGGGTGTTCCACAATGCCGAGATTCAGAGCCAGCAGTTCTGGACGAGGATAATCGATGGTCTGAAAGGGAAGTAGAAGGTAACCACAAGCCTTTGTTTAGTCACAGATTTGGCAAGAGACAAATCTAACTGCAGTTCTGGAGAAGAAAGCCTAGTAGAGTTTTAAAAAACATTTTTGCATGACTGTTTCAGCAACCTAGTGCTTCACCACCAAATAACCCGACTTAATAGTAGTTTACCATAGTGTCTGTCTTTTTCCTTGAAATATTTGTCTTTTTCATTTTTTATCGGTACCGGGGATCGAACTCACAACCGCCTGCTAGCAAGGCAGGTGCTTATGCCGCTGAGCTAAATCCGCAGCCCCTCCCTTGAAATATTTGAATAAAACTTCATATACTATAGCTTCAAATATTTCCATATCAAGAAGCCCTTATGTCCTGTTTTGTCTCAATCTCTCCCTTATTCATTAAAAAATTATTTAGTTATTTCTTATGTTTGTTTTAATTAAGGGGAAAAATTTTAAAAATTAGCAGAGTATATAATAGTAACTTTTTTGATTTCCTATTAACTTGTTTTGAAGTCCTGTAATACTCCCACTATCTTGTTTTGACTGATTAGACTCTGTTCCATTCTGTATGATAGTATCAATTTGAGGGTATAGGCAACTACTTTGAAGGCAGTAAGATTCACTAAGATGCCCATTCTGGTTTGACTATTGTCTCCTTTGGAAGTCCTGTAATGTTTACAATGCTTAAGTTTTATTGGTCTTGTTCTCTACTGTTTTGTTCAACTTTATAATATCTAATGAGATAGACAATTCTTTTTAAGTAAACAAGAGACATTGTTGATAACCATTGTTGATAACCTTGTACTCTGTTTTACATCATGTGCTATGTCTATCCTTGGTTTGACTGACAGCTTTGTTTTGCTATATTTGACTTTATTCTCTCCCCCCCCCCAAAAAAGTAATAAGAACTAAGGAGTAATAAAACCCAAAATGTGTAAATTTTGTTGTAAAAAAGAGAGGGAAAAAAAAGAGTTCTAAATGATACAACAGCAAGTGTGTTTAGGGGTGTTAAATAGCTGACCATATTAATGTTTTTGGTTGGATCATTAAACAAAACTGTTTGCAGTCTCACTGTTTGAGTGTCCACTTTGTATGCTTTGATACTATTTGATCAACTATCTCTAAGATGATAATATGTAATCTATTAACCGGTGATTTCTTACTGTTTTTTTTTTTTTTTGTAGTTCTGTATTACTTGTACCCTTACACCGCTTTGTTTTGTTTTGTGTTTTTCTCTTTTTCCTTTTAAATAAAATTTAAAAAAAACATTTTTGGGCCAATTTGAATTTTTTTCCACATTTTATAAGTGAAAATTTCTAAGAGCTGAAAGATTTCTGCTTTTTAAAAATATATTATTCAATTAAATACACTTTTTCTGAGCACTATCCACTCAATTAATTTTAACGTGTATGAGTAGCCACGACCACAGCCAGGATACAGAGCAATTCTACAACTGCATGAAGTCCCTGTGTAAACACACTGAATGCTCACAACCACTGATACCACTCAGTCCCCGCAGCTTGACAGAGCTCCACTTTGAATAATCCTGGGTTTTATCTTTGTTGGACTTTGTAAAGATTATAGTTTTGAGTTGGAAAAGGATACGTATTCCTCTATATATTATGTATGTAATTTGGAGAAATCAACCTAATACAATATGGAAAGAATAGGTAACACTCTCAGAGTCTCCTCTCCTGCCCAGTGAGGTGAGTCTGTGTCTTTCATCTTGGAAGATCACAGCATAGTTAAGTACAGGTCTAGATTAGTGTCACTTACAGTGGAAAGGACAGAAAATTACTTGAAAAGATGGGTTTGGCAGGTGACATGAGAGAGATAAAAGGGAAACAGCTATCACAGGTGGAGTAACTTGACTAAAGTCATACAAATATTAGGTGGCAGAGCCAGGATTATAACCCAGATAGTCTTGCTCCTGACATTATGCTTTTAACTGCTTGATTTTTCAATAAAATAGTAACATAGAAGCACTGAATTTTTTGTCTTTTAGATTTTACATTGCATCTAATCATCTGTCATTTTACTTTCTTCATGAAGAATAAAAGTTTAAAAATGTTACTTAAAGTTTTAAATACATAGCTAGTCCCTTTTCATTATAACCTGTCCTCCTGAATATTTGGCGTTATTCCCTACTCTATTTTCTGCTTCGCAACACAAACTATAACTTGCCAGGTTAACCCACAATACTTTTGAGGGTCTCCAAATAAAGCATTTGCTTACTTCTATAAGAAAATACAAAGCATTATGGAAAAGCCATTTGCTGGTCTGTATGATTTGGTGATCCCGTAATCATGTTGTTTTTATTTTCTGGAGCTTGCTCTTTACCTTATTTTTATGCCAATTTATTTTTATAATCATGATTCCAAAATAAAATCTAGGAAACAAGGTATATTCAGAGAAGTCTAGTTTCTACCACTTAGCTCTACCTGCCTCTTCAGTCCTTGCTGTAGATAGTGTGGCGCTTAAGCTTAGTTGTGTCAACTTGATTGGCTTGGAAGCCACCTCGGGGATTAGGAAAGCTCATTTCTGGCTATATCTGGATGAGTCATGAAGGGCTGACCTTGGGTATTACATAAGGTCCCCGGCCCTTTGTTCTCTGGTGTTCCTTCACTCTGCTGCCTGGATGCCATGAAGTAATTTGCTCTGCCATTCATTTTACCATGATGTTTCTTCCTTGGAATCAACTGACTATGGACTAAATTTTCAGAAACCATGAGGAGAATAAATAATTTCCTCTTTGAACTTATGGATGTCAGATACACAGTCCCAACAATAGAAAAGCTGACTAGCACAGGTAGTCATTTTTTAAGCTTATTTTGTAGGTTCTCTTTTCATTTAGGAACTTAGGAGCTTAGAGTTTACCTAACTTAATGCATAGTATTTTCGAAAAATTACTCCATAGCAAAAGAAAAGAGTAGAATGTAGAAATTCACATAAAGTGGGTTTTCTGATTGTATGGAACTAAACTAGAAATTAATAACAGAATATCTGGAAAAAGCAACAAACTTTTTAATATCAATCAACAGATAATCTGTGGGTAAAGAACACAAATTTTGAAAACACTATGATTTGAATGAAATTGACCATCCAACATATCAAACGGGTGGTGCACAAAACATGGTTTTCAAGGACATTTATAGCATTAAACACATTAGTTTTCACATCTTCACATTGGGGCTGGGGATTTAGCTCAGCAGCATAAGCGCCTGCCTTGCAAGCCAGGCAGTCATGAGTTCGATCCCCGGTACCGATAAAAAGGAAAAAGACAAAAAAAAAAAAAAAAGAGAGAGAGAGATAAGTTTTCACATTATCTACTTAAATTCCACTCTAAGAAAACAGAAAAATAAGAAAAAAAAAACTAATTCAAATAGAAAGGACATGAAAAAAAGAGCAGAAGTCAATATATTAGAAAACAAACAAAAAAAATAGAGAAAAATAAAACAAAAAGACTGACCTTAAGAAGGTCAATAAGGGGCTGGAGGTTTAGCTCAGCGGCATAAGTACCTGTCTTGCAAGCAGGCAGTCGTGAGTTCGATCCCCGGTACCAATAAAAAAGAAAAAGATGAAAAAAAAAAAAAAAGAAGGTTAATAAAATTGATAAACTTTTATCCACACTGATGAAGAGTGGCATACAAAAACACACCAATATTAAGAATAAGAGAAAGACCTGTTTGGCACACATGATCGCCACCTGCTTACCTCTAGGCACGCTGACACTAAAGCGGTTCCTGAGAAGGCAACAAGTTCTCCTCTGCAGAAGGATTTTGCAAGCAATCTGGCAAGTTCCAAATGCATCTGATTGCAAATACCTGAAGAACGGGGCAAAGGAACAATTCAAACGAAATAAAAGTGCCACAGAAGAGGGTACTATCCGGATAATGATTACTCAAGGCAACATCCAGCTAAAGGAGATAGAAAAAACACTTGCATTAGCAATATCTTAACGCTAGTGTTTATCTGAAGAATTTCCAAATATTCATGTGTTTTGTTGAGTTGAGGCTTAATGGACAGCTCAAAGCCAAGTCAGACTGATGGTATGGACAGTATGCAGGCACACTCTCAGAAGATGGAGCATGTGCGTCCTGGAGAGCAAAGAAAAGCACAGCGAAACAATGCTTTGGAACTGAGAAATATAGCTGAGTTCTGAAGATGTTTCCGGATGTGTTAAGATATCTGTTCTCTCCAAATTTATCATTGTATTCAACAAATCCATATCAAAATTTCAGCAAGCTTTTTGTCAAAATCACCAATCTTACTTTAACATTTATGTCAAAAGCAAAGATCCTAAGATAGCCAAAACATTTTTAAATAGAAAGAATCAAGCTTAGAGTACTTATAATACCTGACTTATGACATTTAAATATTCAATACAGTATCCTGTAGACACAAAGATAAAGTAAATAGATAAGTAGAACAGAATGAAGAGACCTGAAATAGACACACACTCACACACACACACATACACACATACACACAGTAAACTGATTTTGATGAAGCTATCAACATAATTTCATAGAGAAAAGATAGTCTTTTCAATATACAGTGTTCAAGCCAGTGGACATCCCTTGGAAAAAGATTGAGCCTTGGCCTTTATTATGCAAGATAACTTTAAATAGATCATAGATCTTAACATGAGAGACAAAACTACAAAAGATTCAGGAAAAAAAATGAAAAGTTTTTGACCCTGGCTTAAGCAGATTTTTTAGATAGAAAAAGGAAAGAGCATAAAAGAGAAAAATCAATAAATTGCATAAATCATAATTTAAAACTCTTCAAAGACACTGTTTAAATTGAATATGGTGGCAAAACTCTACAATCTGAGCACTCTGGAGCACTGCAAGTTCCAATTCAGCCTAAGCAACTTAGTGACTTAGTGAGACCTTGTTTCCAAATTAAGAATAAAAAATAGCCTCAGGATGTGGCACTGTGAAAATGCTCTAAGTTCAATCCCCAGTACTGAATAATCATCATAATAATCATGACAGTAACACTGCTAAAAAAATGCAAAGTCAGGCAATCGATTTAGAGAAAATACTTGTGAAGTACATCTGATAAAGGACTTGCATATAGCACATCGATCTCCCCAAACTCAATAAAAGGAAAATAGTCAATTAAAACATGAACAAAAGATTTAAAGTTTTAAAAAGATACATTTCTATCCATTTGTTGGAGGACAAATGGATAGAAAAAGCCCATGAAGTAGATGTTCAACATCATTAGTTATTGGGAAGAGGCAAATACAAACTATAATGAGATGTCACTATGTGCATATCAGCATGGCTAAAATTAAAGAGTATCAATAATAAGTGTTGGTAAGAATGTACAGCAATTGAAATTACCATTGTTAGTTATATATAGCAAAATTATATAGCTACTTGGAAAACTGACAGATTCTTATAATGGCAAGTATATATGTATTTTTCTCTGTGATCTATACCACACCCATGTATTTATTTATCTGTGAGAAAAGACATTATGGATTTATATTAAGACTTGTCCATGATCATTTCTAGTAGTTTTCTTCATAGTATCCCCAAATTGGAAATGAACCAAATGTCAATCATCTAATGAGTGTGTTGACATGGATATGCAAAGAAATATTACTCAGTCACTGTAAGGACTGAACTACTGATACCCACCACAAAAGAGATGAATTAAAAAGTTTTATAACATCCAGACATAACCAGTCACAAAAGGTTAAATACAGTGTGAGTGACTCTCTTTACATTACATTGTTTAAAAGGAAAAACAATGGGTAGAATAAAAAAATCAGACCTGTGTTGCCAGGGTCAGAGATCAAGGAAGGGAACTGACCATCACGGTCACGAAGAGCTTTCTGGGTTGATGGATACACTCTATTTCTTGATTATGGTGGTAGTATCCAATCACACACAGTTGTTAAAACTCATTTAAAAGGGGTGGATTTTATTTGTATATATTATACCATTATAAACTTTTTAAATAGAAATGCTTTTAAAAATATAATAATATATAATAAAGATGATAAATTTAAAAAGAAGAAGAAAAAGAGTGAAGCCAGAAGTGAGAAAGTAGACTGAAAAAAAGATAAGCTCAAACTAGGGCCATGACCATTGCACTAAACACACAGAGTTTAACAATGTTAAAATCAGACAGATTTTCTGCATGTACGTATCTGTAAGCATAGCTACCCTGGAGGCTGAGGCACCTGGATTAACAGTTTGAATTTTGCTTGGCCAATTTAGCAAGATCCTATCACAGAGTAAAAGTAAAGAGTTCTGGGGATGTAGCTCAGGGAGTGCATGCCTGAGATGCACAAGGCCTGAGTCTAAACTCTAGTACTGCGAAAAACAAAACAAAGCAAAACAAAACAAAAAACCAGACTCGAACTTAAATTTCGACTTTGCTGCTTACTAGTTGTGTGATTTTAGGGAGGTTATTGTAGTCAGGTTTATTCCGAGTAAAATGAGGATGATGATGATAGTACCCACTGCTATGTGCCTAGAACACAGCGTCTACAGAGGAGGTACGTACTACACTGAGTCATGTTTAAAGATGTTTTCATTGGATCGTCTTGGTAGTAAGGAAGTAGAAGCAGGCAGGGGTGATTCATGGATCCTGGCTTGGATGACTGAGGCCCAACAACTAAAACAATAGATTCAGAGGGAAGACTGAATTTGGGCTTAAACACGCTGAAATTAAAGAGCTCTGCTGAGGGGCATCTTGGTGAACCTTCTGCTGAGAGTTGCGTGTAGACATTCGGCCATCAGTTTGAAGTGAAAGGCATTTAAAAAATCACAACGTAGAACATAAATTGTATTCTGATCCAGGTTCATGCTGACTCTGTATCTCTTGGTTCCTACTGATATTTCAGTGTTTAACTTTACTGGCTGTTATCTAAGCCAGCTATAGCCAGCCCTCAGTCTCCTCAGTTCCACCACTGCAAATTTAACCAAGTATGGATATTCTAAATAAAAATGGAACACTGTTGCTGATGCGTATTATGTAATCAAGCCTGTGATGATGCATCTCTTCTGAACTTGTACAGATGTTTTTCTTCTTAACCAGTACAATATAGCAACTATCTTGTAGCATTTATGATGATATAGTGGTAAATAATCTAGTCATTAAAGTAAAAGGGAGGATGAACATAGTCATATAAGAATTTTGTGTAGGGGATTTGAGTGTTCGTGGATTTTGGTATCTGTGAGAGGTTCTGGGACCAATTTTCTGAGGATGCCTGACTATTTGCCTTAGTGCCTGAAACATAGTAGTCACTCAACAAATATTTGTTAAATGAATCTATTGAATACTAATTTCCAAAGTACTGGAGGTTTCCAGAGTCCCTAGGCTCCAGCCACAGATAGGTGGATTCTATAAGCCAACTCTATGAAATAGCTACAAGGCTGGACAGCCCTTTTAACCCAGCATGTCTACTGGAAAAACCAGTAAAATTGTTGCTACTTGTCCCTTGGTTCAGTGACGTTGCACCAAATACTGTTTTTTCTCTTAAATCTAGCTTTAATCTTCTCTTATGCAGACATTGTGTCCTTATAATGCATTGACAATTATAATCCTTCAAGAAAGACCTGCAACTTCTCTGAAAATTGAACTTTCAATTTTCTTGTGACTTTGGCAGCAGGGCCGGGAGGTGCCACAGGGAGAAAAACTTTGAGCATCCCTGTTTTGTGGCAGGAAGCCATTGAATGCGTTGTCAACATCTTAGCTTGGCCTGGGCACCAAAGTATTAAGTTCCTAATCAAGCAGGAACCTGTGTATTCAATTAAAATGTGGTGTGACTTCCTGAAAATCATCAGTTAGGAGGACTGCATTCCCTTAACTCAACTGGGCAGGATGGCACATGTCCTAAGACTTGGCTGCTGTCTTTTATTAGCTATTATTCTCAGCACCCAAAGTCCAAGAAACAATCCTCGTTCTTTGGTCATTGTTTCTTCTGCAGACCCTTGATTCTCAGTGTGTGTTTTCGTAGCATCCTGTGCATGAACCAGGTTGGGTTTGACTGTCATAGTTATTGAGCAAATTTGAAAATAAGTGGGCTTGTAGGAGTCAGAGTGAGAAGAGCTGCAGGGCCAGAGAGAGGAGTGGGAAGCTAACGGACTGTAGGAGGGATGAGTCATAGTTGCTCTGAGCTCCAGAAACAGCTCAGTCTGGCCAGCTGCAGGCCTGGCTTTGCAGCTTTAGCAAGTGAACCTATCCGTCCTCCTCCCACAGGGGTGGGACAGGAATGAGTAGGGAAGTTCTAAATAGGAAATTCCACATTTAGAGACTGAACCTTAGTATCTGGGTTCCACTCATGGGCAGTGGTTGAGGGCTGGGCGGAGCTCACAACAGTAACCAAAAGGAGGAGCTGCCAATATGATAGAGGGTACAATGCACAGAACCTCACTGCTGGGGAGAGAGTGAAATGGGAGGATCTGACAACCCTGCATTTTCAAAACTAGGACATGTTTAATACTTCATCATCTTTTTCAATTCAGACAAACAAAAGTTCACATATACACTTGTGCATCACACTCTTAAATGTGTTAGGAAGGAGCAGTTTATAATAAAAAGCTGAAAAGAAGAGGCATGTGCATGGGGTTACATTTCCTATATCCCCAACCCCCCAAAGTAACTAATAACTCAATGGAAAAAAAAAACTCAGAAGTGTCAGAGATGTAGTGAGAATAGAAAGTAAGTAGTTACAGGTGGGGTCAACCATTCAGGGATAACTTTAGGCAGGGGATATCCAGAGACTCCTAGACTTCAGAGCCCATGAAAGGACACTGGGACATACGATCTTGGTGAGGCTATCAGCTCAGGGGTTTGGGGAAATGTTCCCTTTCTCTCTCTATTGCTCCTCCTCCTTTAATCCTCTGAGTGCACCTTTCAAGCATAGCAGACTGTAACTTCCTTTGTGGTTAAAGAACTTTATGTAAATGGCCTTTAGTTCCAGGATAGGGTG